GGTAGTTTGTATTTCTGTGGGACCAGTAGTGATATCCTCTTTATTGTTTTTTTATTGCATCTATTTGATTTTTCTCTCTTTTCTTCTTTATTAGTCTGGCTAGCAGTCTGTCTATTTTGTTGATCTTTTCAAAAAACCAGCTCCTGGACTCATTGATTTTTTTGAAGGGTTTTTTATGACTCTGTCTTCTTCAGTTCTGCTCTGATCTTAGTTATTTCTTGTCTTCTGCTAGCTTTTGAATTTGTTTGTTCTTGCTTCTCTAGTTCTTTTAATTGTGATGTTAGGGTGTCGATTTTAGATCTTTCCTCCTTTCTCTTGTGGGCATTTAGTGCTATAAATTTCCCTCTACACACTGCTTTAAATGTGTCCCAGAGATTCTGGTATGTTGTGTCTTTGTTCTCATTGGTTTTAAAGAACATCTTTATTTCTGCTTTCATTTTGTTATTTACCCAGTAGTCATTTAGGAGCAGATTGTTCAGTTTCCATGTAGTTGTGTGGTTTTGAGTGAGTTTCTTAATCTTGAGTTCTAATTTGATTGCGCTGTGATCTAAGAGATTGTTTGTTATGATTTCCGTTCTTTTGCATTTGCTGAGGAGTGTTTTACTTCCACCTATGTGGTCAATTTTAGAATAAGTGTGATGTGGTGCTGAGAAGAATGTATATTCTGTTGATTTGGGGTGGAGAGTTCTGTAGATGTCTACTAGGTCCACTTGATCCAGAGCTGAGTTCAAGTCCTGGACATCCTTGTTAATTTTCTGTCTCATTGATCTGTCTAATATTGACAGTGGGGTGTTAAAGTCTCCCACTATTATTGTGTGGGAGTCTAAGTCTCTTCGTAGGTCTTTAAGAACTTGCTTTATGAATCTGGGTGCTCCTGTATTGGGTGCGTATGTATTTAGGATAGTTAGCTTTGCTTGTTGCATTGATCCCTTTACCATTATGTAATGCCCTTCTTTGTCTCTTTTGACTTTTTTGGTTTAAAATCTGTTTTCTCAGAGACTAGGATTGCAACCCCTGCTTTTTGCTTTCCATTTGCTTGGTAAATATTCCTCCATCCCTTTGTTTTGAGCCTATGTGTGTCTTTGCACGTGAGATGGGTCTCCTGAATACAGCACACCGACGGATCTTGCCTCTTTATCCAATTTGCCAGTCTGTGTGTTTTAATTGGGGCATTTAGCCTGTTTACATTTAAGGTTAGTATTGTTATCTGTGAATTTGATCCTTTCATTATGATACTACCTGGTTATTTTGCCCGTTCATTTATGCAGTTTCTTCATAGTGTCGATGATCTTTACAATTTGGTATATTTTTGCAGTGGCTGGTACCGGTTGTTCCTTTCCATGTTTAGTGCTTCCTTCAGGACCTCTTGTAAGGCAGGCCTGATGGTGACAAAATCTCTCAGCATTTGTTTGTCTGTAAAGAATTTTATTTCTCCTCCACTTATGAAGCTTAGTTTGGCTGGATATGAAATTCCAGATATGAAAGAAAAGAAAATTCTTTTCTTTCAGAATGTTGAATATTGGCCCCCACTCTCTTCTGGCTTGTGGGGTTTCTGCCAAGAGATCTGCTGTTAGTCTGATGGGCTTCCCTTTGTGGGTAACCCGACCTTTCTCTCTGGCTGCCCTTAACATATTTTCCTTCATTTCAACTTTGGTGAATCTGACAATTATGCGTCTTGGGGTTGCTCTTCTGTAGGAATTTCTTTGTGGTGTTCTCTGTATTTCCTGAATTTGAATCTTGGCCTGCCTTGCTAGGTTGGGGAAGTTCTCCTGGATAATATCCTGCAGAGTGTTTTTCACCTTGGTTCCATTCTCCCCGTCACTTTCAGGTACACCAATCAAACATAGATTTGGTCTTTTCACATAGTCCCATATTTCTTGGAAGCTTTGTTTGTTTCTTTTCACTCTTTTTTCTCTAATCTTGTCTTCTCGCTTTATTTCATTGAGTTGCTCTTCAATTACTGATATCCTTTTTCCACTTGATCAATTTGGCTATTGATATTTGTGTATGCTTCACGAAGTTCTTGTGCTGTGTTTTTCAGCTGCTTCAGGTCATTTATGTTCTTCTTTAAGCAGGTTATTGTAGTTAGCAATTCATCTAACCGTTTTTCCAGGTTCTTAGCTTCCTTGCATTGGGTTAGAACATGCTCCTTTAGCTCAGAGGAGTTTGTTATTACCCACCTTCTGAAGCCTACTTTTGTCAATTCATCAAACTAATTCTCTGTCCAGTTTTGTTCTCTTGCTGGCAAGGAGTTGTGATCCTTTGGAAGAGAAGAGGTGTTCTGGTTTTTTGAATTTTCAGCCTTTTTGCACTGGTTTCTCCCCATCTTTGTGGATTTATCTACCTTTGGTCTTTGATGTTGGTGATATTGATACTATTTTTTTCTGTTTGTTAGTTTTCCTTCTAACAGTCAGGCCCCTCTGCTGCAGGTCTGCTGGAGTTTGCTGGAGGTCCACTCCAGACCCTGTTTGCCTGGGTATCACCAGTGGAGGCTGCAGAACAACAAAGATTGCTGCCTGTTCCTACCTCTGGAAGCTTCATCCCAGAGGGGCACCCGCCAGATGCCAGCCAGAGCTCTCCTGTATGAGGTGTCTGGCCCCTACGGGGAGGAGTCTTCCAGTGTGGATACACAGGGGGTCAGGGACCCACTTGAGGAGGCTGTCCCTTCTCAGAGTTCGAACGCTGTGCTGGGAGAACCGCTGCTCTCTTCAGAGTTGTCAGGCAGGGACGTTTAAGTCTGCTGAAGCTGCACCCACAGCTGCCTCCTCCCCCAGGTGCTCTGTTCCAGGGAGCTGTGGTTGGCTCCACCCAGTTTGAACTTCCTGGGGCTTCGTTTACACTGTGAGGGTAAAACCATCTACTCAAGCCTCAGCAACGGTGGATGCCCTTCCCCCCACCAAGCTCTAGCATCCCAGGTAGACCTCAAACTGCTGTGGAGCAGCGAGAATTTCATGCCAGTGGATCTTAGCTTGCTGGGCTCCATCAGGGTGGGACCTGCTGAGCCAGGCACTGGAGAGAATCTTGTCTGCTGGTTGTGAAGACTGTGGGAAAAGCGCAGTATCTGGGCCAGAATGCACCATTCCTCCTGGTACAGTCTCTCACAGCTTCCCTTGGCTAGGAAAAGGAAATCCCTCGACCCCTTGCACTTCCCGGGTGAGGCGATGCCCCACCCTGCTTCAGCTCGCCCTCCCTGGGCTGCACCACTGTCCAACCAGTCCCAGTGAGATAAGCCAGGTACTTCAGTTGGAAATGCAGGAATCACACACCTTCTGTGTCAGTCTCACTGGGAACTGCAGACTGGAGCTGTTCCTATTCAGCCATCTTGCCTGCCCACCCTTCACAATCTATTAATATACAGAGAGCAGTAATATTGCCCAAAAAGGGAAAGTTAATCTTTGTAGTTAATCCTCTCCCCTGAGTCTCATTTTGCCTTTTCTAGAATTTCCTAAGTCTAAACTGGATTTATTTCATTGGTAACAGTGCTATTCATGTTGTCTTCCTTCTTGGGTCAGTTTTGGTCATCTGTGTCTTTCAGGGACTTTGTCTATTTCATCAAGTTGTCAAATTTATTGGTATAAGGTTGTTCATAATAGTTCCTTATTATCTGGGTGAATCATGTGAGCCCAGGAGTTCAAGACCAGAACTAGAGACCAGACACAGAGAGACCCTGTCTCTACAAAAAAAAGTTTTTAAATTAACCAGGTGTGGTTGTATGTGCCTGAGGTCCCAGCTACTCAGGAAGCTGAGGCAGGAGGATCACTTGAGCCTAGGATGTTGAGGCTGCAGTGAGCCATGATTGCCCCACTGCACTCTAGCCGGGGTGACAGAAAAAGACCCTGTCTTGAAGGAAAAAAAAAAAAAAAGAGTTCCTTATTATCCTTTTAAGGTCTGTAGCATATGTAGTGATGTCCCCTCTTTCAGTGTGTTATACACTGATATTAAAAAGAAAATTCAAACAGAGAATAACATTTTGCATTCTCTTTATAATTTTCTAATTTCTTGTCCTTTTATTTTCACTCGTTAAACCTTTACTAAAGTGCATCTAAGCCAGTGTGGTACAACAGAACATGATATTTTAATTGCCCCAATTTACGTTTAATCTCAGCCACTCACTAGCCCGTGGCCATGAGCAGCTTACTTAACCACTCTGAGTCTTAATTTTATGCTCTATCAAATGTGGATAAGAGTGCCTCTGCCGGGTTAGCTGAGGTGGGGGGGCAAGGAGTCGCAGGGGGAATGGGGGGCGGGGCTAGCAGGTGAAAGTGCTCAGTGAATGGAAGCCATTGCAGTGGTGATGGATGATGTGATGATGTGTTCCAAATCTTATTGCTCAGACTAGGACTAGTTAATGGTTTTAGGATAGTGGAAATTTTGAAAGCCTCTTGAAGCCCCTAGTTTACCTAAATTCAATGTATTCTGTTTTATATTGTATGTAAGTAGAATCTGGAGTTTGTACACTGTGGTGAACATAATTGAAACGTGGTAATGCTTTATTTAAAAGTCTGCTTTTTGGCTGGATACAGTGGCTCACACCTATAATCCCAGCATTTTGAGAGGACAAGGCAGGGAGATCACTTGAGGCAGGCATTTGAGACCAGCCTGAGCAACAGAGTGAGACCTGGTCTCTACAAAATAATAATAATAATAATAATAATAATAATAATAATAATAATAATAGTGTGGTGGCACATGCTTGTAGTCGCAGCTACTCGAGAGGCTGGGACAGGAAGATTGCTTAAACCCTGGAGCTCAAGGGTGCAGTGAGCCATGATCATGCCACTGCACTGCAGCCTGGGCAACACAGCAAGAACCTGTCTCAAAAAATAAAATTAAAGTCAAAATCCACTTTTAGCTTAGATATAATAAATCAGTATGAATGTTACTGAGGATGACGTTTGTACAAGAAAGTAAGATTTAAAACCCAAATCATTTAAGACAGGATTACAGAAATGATTATCTTTAATTTTTTAAAAATTTGTGCCTGTTTCTTATTTCCTAAGGTGCTTAATTTACCCATTTCTGATGCGAGGAGGAAAGCCTATGCCACTGTTGGCGTGTACAATGGCGATTATGTTCTGTACCTTTAACGGCTATTTGCAAAGCAGATACTTGAGCCATTGGGCAGTGTATGCGGATGACTGGGTAACAGATCCCCGTTTTCTAATAGGTGAGTGTCCACAGCAGTGAACTCCGCCTTGTTCACATCACTGCTTTTATGTTGATGTCCCAGTGGTTTCTAATGAGAAGTCCAAGCTTCCTGTGAGAACAAAGACTCACAGCAGAGAGAGCAGCAGGACCCCGGAGTCCCCATGGGACAGCCCAGCTGTCTCAGCACAGCTCGGGGCAGGGAGGTGATGCAGGTGATGGGAACCTTCCCCCGCATGGGCAGGCGCTGAAGCACAGGTGCCTGGTCAGGCCAAGAACCCAAAAATAGCAGCGCACTGTAGCAGAATGAGCAGGGACTAAAGATTGAGACACTTTGGCCACTCATTGACCACTTAATCTAAGACAGGACCCAAACCTCCTGCGGTTCCTTCTGTGACATGAGAAAAACCCAGTCTGGGTTATCTTCCTACAGTGCAGCTTTTGTGATTCTATGAACTTGAATCAACTTTTAGGTTTATGAAGTTGATGAATTTTTTTGTTTGTATCAGTTAATGTGAATTAATGTACATTTTCAACCTCTAATTATAACTTTATAAGTTCTGAGCAAAAATGAAAATAAAACAGCCATCAACGATATTTTCAAGAGCATTAAAAATTCATCATCTGGCTGGATGCAGTGGCTCCCACTGTAATCCTAGCACTTTGGGAGGCTGAGGTGGGCAGAATCACTTGAATCCAGGAGTTCAAGACCAGCCTGGGCAACGTCGCAAAACTGCATCTCTACACAAAATACAAAAATGTAGCTGGGCATGGTGACACACACCTGTGGTCCCAGCTTACTCAGAGGCACTGAGGTGGGAGGATCACCTGAGGCCAGGAGGTCAAGGCTGCAGTAAGCCATGATTGTGCCACTGCGTTCCAGCCTGGGTGACAGAGTGAGACTGTGTCTCAAAAAAAAAAAAAAAAAAAAACAACTCAGGAGTCTTGTATATAAGAAAGATTCTTCTATGTATTTGTTTAGTCTATCCTAGCATTTAGATATTAAACCATGCTGAGGTGTAGCTTACTCACAACGGCAGCATGCTAAAAGTTATAGTCTGTCAGATTTGGAAACTACCCTGCAGTACTTCCCCTTAAGCTACATAAAATAACCTGACATTGCATTTTTCTGCTTCTCCATGAGTATTAATTTATAATCATAGAAATAAACTAACACTTGGATAGCACTTTGTTGCTGAGAGGTCCCTTTCACATTTCTCAGTCATGTTTTTTGTCGGTGAATTCGAATTTTATTCCAAGGTTTCACCATACCTGAGGATCGTTACAGTGAGACACCTGTCCCTCCTCTACAAAAGGAGGGTTGGCTGAGAAGGCGTTTCAGGATCCTTTTCTAGCCCCAGAAATCTGTGCCTCCATGAAATGCTAGGCTAAATTGTTTGGTACTAAACTGTTGTACAGTACCCCCAAATATCTTCTTGGTTTACCTGCTTTTTGACTACTTTATTTTCTTCTGCCCTACCTGTCAAGAGGAAGAACAGACTTTTGAGTTCCTATGCAAATCACACGATTTATGCCTCCCTATGTTCTCTGAGGCAGAAAGGATGCCCATAAGATGTGAAAGGTCAGAAGAGTTACACAGCTGGCCCAAGATATCTAGACGCAGTGAATGGCAGAGTGGTGATTTCTGCCGCCTCGCCAAGCTGAGTGTCCACAAGTGGCAACAAGAAATAAGAGGAAAGGGAATTTCTTTTTAACTGAAGATATAGATTTTAAATGTTTACTAGAGAGTCTCGTGGAACTCACTTCTATGATGAACAACAACAAAAGAACCCTCCTATTTAAAGTAGCTCCGCGGATGGTTCGCATCATGTAGAGGTGACTGTGAAGCTGGTCAGAGATTCCAAACACCAAGAAATACAGACCTCTTGACTTCTCTACAATTAAACAGAAGGATTTGAAAAGGAAAAAATATGCCAATTGGAAGACAATCTAGGTTACGTTTTGTGTGTTATATTTATTGCCTAGAGTTGTTTTTATGAGGGAACAGACATGAAATTACATAAATAAGTAATTATGCCTACTGTAGTTACTATGAAGTCATAACCAAATAATAATAAATTTCTTTTTCTTTTTCTTTCTTTTTTTTTTTTTTTGAGATGGAGGCTCACTCTATCGCCCAGGCTGGAGTGCAGTGGTGCAATCTCGGCTCACTGCAACCTCTGCCTCCTGGGTTCAAGAAATTCTCCTGCCTCAGCCTCCTGATTAGCTGGGACTATAGGTGCATGTCACTATGCCCAGCTAATTTTTGTATTTTTTTAGTAAAGACAGGGTTTTATCATGTTGGCGAGACTGGTCTTGGACTCCTGACCTCAGGTGATTCACCTGCCTCGGCCTCCCAAAGTGGTGGGATTACAGGTGTCAGCCACCATGCAAAGAATTTCTAATAAAAGGTTTTCCAAAACAGCAAAAGTGGTTAATCTAAAATATTTTATAGAAAGATTTTAAGAATTTTTTTTTTTTTTGAGGCAGCCTGTCATCCAGGCTGGAGTGCAGTGGCACACAGTCTTGGCTCATGGCAACCTGTGCCTCCCAGGCTCAAGCAATTCTTGTGCATCAGCCTTGGAGTAGCTGGGATTACAGGTGTGCACCATCACACCTGGCTGATTTATGTATTTTCAGTAGAGATGGGGTTTCACCATGTTGGCCAGGCTGGTCTTGAACTCCTGGCCTGAAGTGATCTACCCATCTTGGCCTCCCAAAGTGCTGGGATTATAGGTGTGAGCCACTGTGCCTAGCTAGATTTTAAGATTCTTATAAATGGAATTAAATATTTAGCTTAGATGAACACAAGTACTAGTTTTCTTCCAATCTAAGCAATAAAGGGAGCTTGTCTCCTAGAAGAAACATAAAGTAGCCATGTTATTTAGACAACATGATTTCTTTCTAGAACCTCGTATTGGAAGCCCAATTACCTAGGAGTGAAATACTAAAATCCCCAAAAGGTAGCAAATCAACTATAAATGTATGGATCCAATAAATGACTTACAAAACCTATTATAAAACGTGGTATGAACTGCTTAGAAAAAAAAAAGCTGATTACAGTGGCAAAATCAGAAGGAAGAAATCTTGAAACCCTTGCCATAGACCAGAAGGTTTTCCATGTCCTAGTTCTGTGAAAAAGTGTTCAATGTCACTGATGTGATGACTCAAATAATAATGATACCCCACGTGTACATTGATTTAATATTGAACTAAATGCCAGCATTAAGCAGCATCTGTCTTTCACATTTTAAAAAAGTATATCAGAACCATCAAGTTAACCCCTTTTTATCAATATTTCTTTTATAAAGCACTGTTTTGGCCTTGAGCGTTTTCTTGATGGAATTAATTGATGTAATACTAAGAACTCTCCTTTAAGTGATGAAAAATCCCTGCAGATTTGTTAGAATAGGAGAGAACACTGGGGATACCGTGGGATTCTGGGGAGAGCCGTGCAGCCAGCCATGGTAGACTGTTGTAGGAACCGAGGAAGAAGGACTGACCGAGGAATGCTGATTGATGAGCCTGTAGGAATTCTGCGGTAGGGGAAACGTGGATGTGCATTAATTTGTTCAAATGAGGTTGTAAATAAGAGAAGACCAGAGATCGGCTCCTAGGAACTGCCACCCCTCAAGGGGCAGTGTACAGCCAGTGGTGACAGAGCAGCACAGGAGCATCACCCCTCCTGATCCATGTGGTGGAGATGGTAGCATTGCCTCATGCAGATTTTGTGAGAAATAAATGGGATGAGTCTGTTTGGTGGGCTGACTCCCTGATGCTCCCTGGAAAGGAACCTTGTGCCCAAGTCAGATTTCTATCCATACCTGTCATCCTGAAAATGTACATTGTGATGATCAGGTCAAAATATTTTGAATACATTAGATGATGTATGTGTATTATTAGAAAAACAAAGCCCTGCTTAGCATACCTGACAAAGGTGCTTGATGGTTTTTACTATCAGTTATGGCTAATATGTTGCACTAACAATGGTAATATGAAGGGTTGCAATAATACTGTTCAGTCAGGCTGGGGCTCGTAGTGAAATTTTATGGTTTATTAGCCATAATCATCTTGCAATTTTTTTCCTTTAGGTTTTGGCTTGTGGTTAGCGGGTATGTTGATAAACATCCATTCAGATCATATCCTAAGGAATCTCAGAAAACCAGGAGACACTGGATACAAAATACCAAGGGGTACGTACTGAAAGTGAAGAATTTCTGTGAAAGTTGTGTGCCATGGTGCCTGTCTATTTTAGTGTTGCCAGCTCTAAGAAGTAGTAGCATGGTATTTATTAGCTACAAGTTTTCAGTGTAAATCATCATTATTAATAACAAGTACTGTTGTTATTGTCTTATTAGAATAACAAAAGAACCAAATCTGGCTAACTGAACAGTTATTAAACAAAGCAGAAAGTCCAGTTATATCTGTGCTTGGAAAGAGAGGATGAGGAAGAACGTATGATTTACAAGGAGTGTCTGACACTTCTGTTTCTAGCAGTATAATGAAATAGATACTTTGACCCTCCTCTGAAAACATTTTAAAATGTTGGAATATTTTGAAAATCTTCTTAAACACATCAGTATACTATCAAGAAAGGAAGTAATCATCAGAGGACAAGATCTAGGTGAATGATGGAATCTGGAGCGTATCTTTTGAGAATTTGTGACGAGGCACCAACCCCCATGCTGGTTTATAACCCAGATTCGCACTACTTGTATAGTATGAAAAATCTCAAGCCGTGAATTAATTTCCGTGGCCTAGGGTGGTGGTGGATTCTCCTGGCCAGCAAAAGCCCAGATCCCCAAGGGGATCTGCATTCAACCTGAGTCTCAAAGAACCCAATGTGCCACACTCCACAGAGTAAGAGGTACGGTCACAAGGTACAGAACCCACAAGGAAGTACAGCACCATGAGGGAGAATGTAATTCAATGTGAAAGATTTCAGATGTTAGAATTAATGGAAACATTATAAAGTGAGTACTTTAAATGCTTTTTATAACGAGTAATTACAATTAGGAGTAAAGAAGCAATGTACCATAAAAAGGACTAGAAACCAACAGAGTTTCAGAAAAAAAACTTTTAAAGTACAGAAATCTAAAACTTTAATGGAGAAAGGGCATGACATCACTTAGTTTGAACTTCTTCCACTTATGTTCTGAGAAACCATATGAGAATAGCAACAAAAACAAACAATGCTCCAAATCCCAAATTACTAAAACTGTGATCCTGAGAACCTGGAATCAGCAAAGCCAGCTCCACACGTGATGGTAGTGTGATAGAAGCGGCAGAGAAGAGAAAACATGACAGAGTCCTAGACAGGCTGCTGATCACCCATTCAGGCCCTGGGTGGATTGGGGAAGAATCCCCTCTTTGGTGTTGAGCTTATAAGCAAACTGCACCCTCATGGGGTCATCCCAAGGAGCCACTTCCTCTGGCAGGTACAGTGGCTGAGAAAGTGCAATGTAAGCTGGATGGTGGCCCCCTCGCTTTGTGCCCAGCACCCTTGCATGGGGAACAGCATGATTCCAGGTTCATTGGCAAGTGTTTGTCCCCTGAAGGAGAGGGCCCTGTCCTAAGGAGGGGCTGCCATGAGCCAGACAAAGAAGGGAGAGAGCACAGTCCTGGGGGAGGCAGAATGAAAAGGTGCAGAAGATGCCAGAAGCCACAGACTGGCAGATTTGAGAAACACCACTTCCAAAAGAAAGGGCATCCCCAGAGATGGCAGGATCCCATGGGAGGGCCCTCCTGGGCCAGGCTGGTCACGGAAAGGCCTGACATGCCTCATACAGAGGGTCCTGTCCACTGTCCCACAGTAGTTGAGATGCCACAAAAACTTTTCAGCCTCTTTCCCTCCATTTCCTGCTCTCATGTCTGATCCTTGTTCTAATCCAACATATTGAAACCTGAAGAACAAAAAAGGTATGATCCCCAAATCTGTGCAGTCATAACATTGGGACAGCAAAGCAGCAGCAAAACTTACCTGAGCAGAAACATGTTTCACAAAGCAGGGGAAAATTGTAATCAAAATTCCAACATGAGTTTTAAAATGTGAATGGAGGCTAGGCGTGGTGGCTGCACCTGTAATTCCAGCACTTTGAGAGGCCGAGTTGGGCAGATCACATGAGGTCCAGAGTTCAAGACCAACCTGGCCAACATGGTAAAACCCCATCCCTACTAAAAACACAAAATTTAGCCAGGTGTGGTGGCACATGCCTGTAATCCCAGCTACTTAGGAGGCTGAGACAAGGCTGAGACACGAGAATCGCTTGAACCTGGGAGGCAGAGGGTGCAGTTAGCCAAGATCATGCCACTGCACTCCAGCCTGGGCGACAGAGTGAGAGTCTGTCTCAAAAACGTAAAAAATACAAATAAAATGTGAATGGAGCAGTTGCAGGGTCTATACCCGTCAGCTGAAGAACACCTGCAATGAACCTGCAATCTACAAACTTAGCTTATTTTCTGTCTCAGTAAAGGGAGACCCCTCCCTGCCACATTTCCCTACAGTGCATAGCCTCCTTCCTGCAGCTAGTAATCAACCCAGCTTCCCGACGGCCTATGGCCATCAATGGCATCTCTGAGAACAGATAGGCCAAAGGAGATGTAGAAGCTTGGCTGCGACTCTCAGGCAGCAGGAAGTAGCACCAGATGTCGGTGCAGGTGACATGGGACACATGAGACTTAAGAAAGAAAATGCTTCTAAAATTTTTAATTTCTCCTATCCAAGTACTAACTAGGCTCGACCTTGCTTAGCTTTCAAGATCAGACAAGATCAAAATTCTTTATTTCTAATCATTAAATTAAAAGGCCCACAAGACCAGGAAAAAAAAAAAAAACACCACAGAAGTATGTCAGAAGATAGAAATGAAAAAGCAAAGAATATGATACCTAGACTGGGTGCAGTGGCTCATACCTGTAATCCCAATACTTTGGGAGGCTGAGGCAGGAGGATCACTTGAGGCCAGGAGTTTGAGACCAGCCTAGGCAACATAGCCAGACCCCCATCTCTACAAGAAAAATGAAAGAAAATTAGCCAGGCATGGTGGTGCACACTTGTAGTCCCAGCCACTCAGGAGGCTGAGGTGGGAGGATCACTTGAACCCAGGAGTTCGTGGCTACAGTGAACCTCAATCACGCCACTGCACTCCAGAGGGAGACCCTGTCAAAAAAAAAAAAAAAAAAATTCTTATTGTGAATGACGTTTTTGGTGATAGCTGGAGAAGTAGGGAAAATACATCCATCCTAGGCACGCTGAAGTCCATGAAGAAGAAATCCAAAGCATTGGAACAGAACATATTTTAAAAACTAATTCAAGAAAGCTTTTGTGAAGTAAAACAAGACGCAAGAGCGTCTGCCGTTTGCAAGTGCACACCCTCTACCAGGGAAAGTCGACAGGAAACAGTGATGATCATCTGCACATGCTGTGAGTGGCTCATAAGGGAAAGTTTGTTAGATTCTTCAGGGCAACATTCAGTGCCAAGGCCTTAGAGGCAGCACCATGAGAGGCCCAAGGAATGTGGAAGCCAAAATTTTATCCTAGCTTTGGAGTCCCTCGTGTAAAATCTGTCAGGTTTTGAAGACTACAGGTATAGGTAGTCTGGGTGCTGAGCCCCATGAGGACTCCACCATGGTCGGCTTTGTGACTGGCCCCCCTCACTGCAGACTCTTAATTTGCAGGGTGTTTTTACGTGACACACTCATGGTTTCTAATACACAGGTGTGCCGTCTACATCCAGTGATTACGTGAGGTCTTTCAGAAACGCTTCCCAGGACTCTGTTAATAATGGTGCCGTAACTGGTTAGCGTCAAAAGAGCAAGTGACAAAACGAACAAATAAAGAGATAAAGAGAGGTGCACAGATAGGATGCCCATAGTCGGTACATACAGGCTGAACTAGGGTTTAGGGCAAGTGCTGTGGGCTGTGTGTGACGACCAGTTTGTGGTTTTGTAATGCGGCATCTGTAAGCAGCCTGTGTCTCAAGACATTTTTTGGCAGATTGGCATCTCCAGGTTTTCCGGTCTAATTACATGCTTACTGGTCCACCCATATGGTTCCACCAAATAATGTGCCCCACACTGGACCCTCTGAGAGAAGGTTCACTGAGCAGGCTGCATGCGGGAAGGCATCATGGCCCCAGCCCTCCCCACAGGCTGTCTGCCCTTTGGGTGACTGGCATCTGCAGGACGGGGTGCAAAGGTCCTTCCACGTCTGGGATTCAGCTGCCCAGGGCTCTGTTGAAATACAGATGATCGTTAATGTCATCTTGTAGAAAGTTGAAGCAGTTACAGAAATGGGTGAATAAGAAAGTGACAGTGACTAAGCTCCACGGTTCAGAGGGAACAGCGCTGTGAATGCTTTGGGTCCATTCTTGCAGGCGCTTCTGCAGGTGCATATGCCCACACATTGAGAATGACATTCTATTTATTGGGCATTAAGTTTGATATTTTTATGTATTATATTGTCATTAAAAAGTTTGTCAATGAATGTTGCTATTTGTATTAGTCTGTTTTCACTCTGCTATAAAGAACTACCTGAGTCTGGGTCATTTATGAAGAAAAGAGGTTTAATTGACTCACAGTTCCGCATGGCTGGGGAGGACTCAGGAAACTTACCATCATGGCAGAAGGCGAAGGGGAAGCAAAGACCTTCACATGGCGGCAGGAGAGAGAACAAGCGAAGGGGGACCTGCCTCACACTTTCAAACAATTACATCTCATGAGAATTCACTAGCACAAGAAACTGCCCCCATGATCCAGTCACCTCCCACTGGGTTCCTCCCTTGTCCTGTGGGGATCACAGTTCAAGATGAGATTGGGTGGGGACACAAAATCAAACCATATCAGTATTATTTTATAATTATGAATTATTTCAAGCTTACAGAAAAGTAGTAGAAAGCTCAATATTGCAAGCATCTACACACCCCCACCTTCCTTAAATAAGAAAAAGAAAAGCACTTTGCTGTCTTGGGCTCAGCAAAACCATTTTCTTTCTTTTTAAAAAATAGACCATCTCAGGCTGGGCGCCGTTGCTCACACCTGTAATGCCAGCGCTTTGGGAGGCTGAGACAGGTGGATCACCTGAGGTCAGGAATTCGACACCAGCCTAGCCAACACGGTGAAACCCCATCCCTACTAAAAATACAAAACTCCAAAAAAAAAAAAAATCATCTCAGCTCCAGCCAAAGCCCTCATGCACCATGCACATAAGTTGCAGCGTGCTCAGAGAACTAGTCTCCACCCTATGCTGCAGTATTTGTTGAAATTGGTCTTATGACTTCGGGTGTAATCAGTTTGTCTGGTTTTTTTTTTTTTGAGACAGAGTCTAACTCTGTCACCCAGGCTGGAGTGCAATGAATGGCACGATCTCGGCTCACTGCAACCTGTGCCTCCTGGGTTCAAGCAATTCTTATTCATCAGCTTCCCGAGTAGCTGGGACTATAGGCGTGCACCATCACACCTAGTTAATTTTTGTATTTTCAGCAGAGACAAGGTTTCACCATGTTGGCCAGGCTGATCTGGAACTCCTGACCTCACATGATCCACCTGCCTCAGCCTCCCAAAGTTCTGGGATTACAGGCGTGAGCGACCGCACCCGGCCTAATTTTTTAAAAAATGCTCTGTCCTTATATGCCTTCTGAATTTTCTCAGCTCTGCAGACATAGTGCCCAACTGGAACCCAGGGCAGAATACATCAGGCCTCTCTAGAACACACTTGAGTAGCCACAAAGCTACAGCCTGAGGGTGAGTCCCAAGTCCCAAGGAGGGGCCTCCTGCCCTCCTTCTCTGCTAGGACCCCTCTCCCTGCCCCTCGTCTGGTCCTTGGAGTGTGCCAGCCATTGCTCTCCGCCTCAGGGCCTTTGCTGCATCTCTTCTCTTGCCTGGAGCACTCCTGAGAGCACCCCCAGCACCTGCCAGGCTGGCCCTCACTTGCAAGCCTTGAATCGACCTTCACCTTCCCTGTGAGGCTTGTTCCCAGCCACTCTGTGATGGTGACCTCCTCTACCCCATCCCAGTTCCAGGGCCCCTCACTACTGTGCCCTGCCCCTCACTACTCCTCCCCCTCCATGTGCTGCATGCTCTCTTTGTTCATGACACTGGGGTTTATGGTTCTAGATGTGGGGAGGGGGTCTGTCCAAGTGCCTGGGCAGGGCCTGGCCCATAATACTGACTCAGCGCATTTGTGAAGATGTGATGAATGAATGAATGAATGAATGAATGAATCTGTGCTTGAAAGTGAATATCTTCGTCACTCATTGCTCTAGGGTTCTATTTAGGTCCATTTTACTTGCTAGTTCATTGTTAGTTGTTACTCTGTATTCTCTGCTTGCGTGATCCATCAACAGGTGCAGTGGTTTAGTGGTGTTCTTCCACTGTAACTGTACATGCATGTATTCACATAGACGGGTATTGATATATATATGTAGTTGATGATCAGAAGCTGTGATATGAATTAGTAAACCATGTAACGCTGGATATGTCTTATTGATTAACATCCTATAAGGGAAATATTTTTCCGTTCTTGAATTTATGTTCTCCAGGTAAGTATTCACTAGCATCTCTGAAGTCTATATTTCATTTTGTAGTAAATGTACTACTTTGGTCTGTGTTTTCTTCTAGGAGGCTTATTTGAATACGTAACTGCAGCCAACTATTTTGGAGAAATCATGGAGTGGTGTGGCTATGCCCTGGCCAGCTGGTCTGTCCAAGGCGCAGCTTTTGCTTTCTTCACATTTTGTTTTTTATCTGGTAGAGCAAAAGAGCATCATCGGTAAGTTTTGAAACACTTTTACCATTTGTAATTTGTTCTTTGACTATATTATTACTCTTTTTCAGGATAGATTTTTGAAGTGTTCATTTAAATTGCTGAATTCCAGTTTATTCTGTGCTTTGACCAAACAAGTACAAAACCAAACCGATAGCTGTAGAATCACCCAGCTCTAAGGAATTGTCAGAGCCACATAAGCAGAGTTGTTCTCTACACCACGTCCTTAGCCTCTCTGAATTGACATTGCTGGACTCAGTGGTGCAGCTGGACACCAAGCAGGGGATTCGGGGCTCTGAGTGGGAAACACTGATTAAAACAGAACCCTGACTGAGCACAGCCAATGGCCAGCTTGCGAATGCTGCAGGCTGAGGAAGTCTGAAGAGGAAGGTGAAGCCCAGAGCCCGGCAACACTGGCAGAACTCATGCACACAGAGCTCTCTAGCTATGTGGCGACTTAGGCCATGGCTCTGAACCTGGGGTCCTTAATGGGCTACAGAGGCTCTATGTGCCCCCTAAAATGACATTTTCCAGAGACCAGGTCCTTGCCTTTCATCTGATCCCCCAAAGGGCTTGTGAGCCATTTGACCAACACACTCATAAAGAAATCAAAGGGACTGGACACGGTGGCTCACACCTGTAATCCCAGCACTTCGGGAGGCCGAGGCCAGTGGACCACTTGAGGTCGGGAGTTCAAGACTGGCCTGGCCAACATGGTGAAACCCCATCTCTACTAAAAATACAAAAATTAGCCAGGCATGGTGGCGGTTGCCTGTAATCCCAGCTACTCGGGAGGCTGAGGCACAAGAATCACTTGAACCTGGGAGGTGGAGGTTGCAGTGAGCTGATATCGTGCCACTGCACTCTAGCCTGGTTGATAGAGTAAGACTCAGTCTCAAAAAGAAAGAAAGAAAGAAAGAAAGAAATCAAAGGATGTCAAGGCTGAAGTGAATTTAGAGAACACCTTTCTAATCCAATGGTTGAGGAAACTGAGGATCAAGGAGCAGAGTCTGAGGCCTGCCAGGAGCCCCGTTTCATTGACAGGAAGAGATCTCAGCCACAGCGTGGAATCTTTACCTGCCCTGACATGGGCGTGTGTCCCTGACAATAAATGATGGAGACTGGGCTTAGCAAGCAGCCAGCCTGGTATGCACATTTACCGTGTGCCCTGAGCCACTCGCTTCATCCACTCAAAACATCTAACCAAAATCTCCAAAGCTGCCAGTGCTACGAGGTGTGCAAAAATGTATAACTCTGTCCTTCTTCATGAAGTTTATCATCTTTTTTGGGACTGAGGACAGAGAGAAAAAGCTAAAAGAAGAATAGATTGATAGCATGGTATAGTGGGAAAAGTACCTAGGTGTACTTCCCAGCCTCACCACATGTTTGCAGATGCAAAGGATGATTATTGGAGATAATAAGAAGAAAGGTCATATCTGAAGTATCTCTTTGTCTAGTTTTTTTTTTTTTTTTAAAGACAGCATCTCGCTCTGTCACTCAGGCTGGAATGCGGTAGCACAATCTCAGCTCACTGCCACCTCTGCCTCCTGGGCTCAAACAATCTTCCCACCTCAGCCTCCCAAGTAGCTGGGATTACAGGCACACGCCACCAGGCCTGGCTAATTTTTTATATTTTTTGTAGAATTGTGGTCTCACTATATGGCCCAAGCTGGTCTTGAACTCCTGGACTCAAGTAATCCTCGCACCTCAGCCTCCTGAAGTGCTAGGATTAGAGGCGTGAGCCAGCGTGGCTGGCCTCTTTGTCTAATACTTGAAGAAGTGATAGCATAAATGTGAGAGCTGATGAGAGCTCTCAGGGCAGCACCCTTCATTCTTTCGAGACACTCCATTGTGCCAGGGACCTGGTATTTTCACGCATAGAGAGTGAGGAGAACAAAATCAGAGCCAGGACCTACCTAAATCCTGTAGCTGCTGAGAAAAACATAGGGGTCTGCAGAAAGTTGAGTGAGTGCCGAAGGCAGAGAGGGTTTGAGAAGGAGGCTCGATGCCAGGCATGGCAGAAACACTGTGGGCCAGGAATGGGCCTTCTGTGCTGGGAACTGTGTTCGCCAAAAAGTCATATGGGAGTCCTAAGCCCTGGTACCTGTGAAAGCAACCTTACTGGGGAACGTATTCAGTTGAGATGAGAAGGGGAAACGTGGATACAGACATACACCAGGTGATCACACAGAGTGGGAAGGCCACGGGAAGATGGACAGAGAGGCAGGGGCGATGCAGCCACGAGCCCAGGAACAACACGTGGCACCACCAGAGCTGGGGGAGATGGGACTGGAACCTTCCCTGAACCTCCAGAGGGAGCGGAGCCCTGCTGCCACCTTGATTTCCAACTTCTGGCTTCTAGAACTGGGAGAGAATTCGATGGCCGTTATTATAAGCCACCCAGCGTGCGGTAACTTTGTTCTAGCAGCCACAGGGAACTGATACACCAGCTTTCCGGCCATTTAAAATTGACTGGGAAAGTAAGGGCAGGAGTATGATTTGTGAACCCTTCTGTTTTCTCCTCTGCCACATGACTTTGTTGTCACAGGTTTGGTTGAGATACTACGTCATCACTCTAAATATACATTCTAGAGTGTGACTTCCTCCCCTCTGCCCCCGCTGCTCCCAGCACTGCCCCCGCTGCCCCCGCTGCCCCCAGCACTGCCCCCGCCGCCCCCAGCACTGCACCCGGCCTGGGCCACGCTTCCCGGTGAAGATGCCATCCTTTTACATTCCTAATATTTGATGTGAAGAAGCAAGTAATGTCTCATTTCTCTTAAACAAATGAGATAACACTGACATTTAAAAAAACATGGATCAGCATAAGATTGAACACGGGCACACCAAGTCAGTGGTAAAGATGTTTCCTCAAATGAAATCAGGAAACAGGAAAACCCCTCTCAGTATATGAATATGAAACATATAGAAATGGAAAATAAGTAATTCAGTTATCTAAATTAAAGTCTTTGCTAATAAAAACCCAAAGATACTCTTTGCAGAAGAATTCATGAGTTGAAAGAGCTCTTTGTCATCCATTTGCTGTTTAAATTGGTGTCAGTGTGAAACCAGTTTTAAGTCCTGAAGAATTAATCAACTCAGTTTTGCAGAATTATGTTCAGAAATGTAGGACTTACAAGCTGAGAATAAAATAAAAACTCTTTTTTAAAAATATTTTCATAAACCCAACTAATCAAGCCATCAAATAAACGTATTCCAAAAGAAACCATGCCAAGGATCTATTCCTTGCACTCCATTTGATGGATTATAATGTTCTTTTTTTTTTTTTTTTGAGACAGTCTCGCTCTGTCGCCCAGGCTGGAGTGCAGGGGCGCGATCTTGCCTCACTGCAAGCTCCGCCTCCCAGGTTCACACCATTCTCCTGCCCCAGCCTCCCGAGTAGCTGGCACTACAGGCACCTGGCTAATTTTTTTGTATTTTTAGTAAGAGATGGGGTTTCACCGGGTTAGCCAGGATGGTCTTGATCTCCTGACCTCACGATCCACCCGCCTTGGCCTCCCAAAGTTCTGGGATTACAGGTGTGAGCCACTATGCCTGGCCGGATTATAATGTTCTAAAAACAAAACTGTATTACAATGAAATTCTTTCTAAAATAATTAGTATTTAAATTCATAAATGATTGCATTGATAGTTAAACTCTAGGTCAGAAACAGTCAACTGTGCTGGGTTGCTAACAAATATTCTCTTTAAAGGCAAAATTTAAAGGTATTCTAAGGAGTGAGAAAAATTTAATCATTTAACAATAAATATTTTATTTCCATATAATGGTTTCTGTGAAATACATTTAACCTCTTCAGCCAACATCCCTTCATTATGTGAGAACATCCTGACCTCACACGTGTTCTTTCTGATGTCACGGAGCCCAGCCTTGCTGCCCAGCCTGGCTGGAAGGACCGTTTTCTCGGCGTCCTGCGGCAGTCCTGTGTGTCCTGTCTCCCGCCTGCCCTCTCGTGTTTGCCCATTTCAGGCTCTCCTGCTGTCTTGTACTCTGCCCTTGACTTTTCGGGCCAGGGTGCCCATCTTCCATGGGCAGTTTCTGGGAGAGAGGAGCTCACCCGCTATGTCCCTGTGCGGCATCCAGTGCCGCTGGCCCGTGGGGAAGCTCTCCGGCACTTGCAAGGGGTGGATGGCCTGGATCCCAGCAGGCCTGTGAAAACCTTCAGCCTCTAACCAGCGAACATGTTTGCAGTCCACTTCCACAGGCTTCACACCAGCTGTGAAAACCTTCAGCCTCTAACCAGCGAACATGTTTGCAGTCCACTTTCACAGGCTTCACACCAGCTGTGAAAACCTTCAGCCTCTAACCAGCGAACATGTTTGCAGTCCACTTTCACAGGTTTCACACTAGCTGTTGGGCTTGGCCACGTTGTGTGTTGGGCACTCGGGTCCATGTGCCACCACTGAGCCACATAGCTGGAAAGGCTGCAGTCTAAAGGCCTCATGCCAGGGGAAGTGATACTTGACCTGGAAGTCCTGACCGACTTCTTAGAATTGTTCTTATTACATGCCTTTTTGGGGACACAGAACATAAAAAAGTAAACGTGGCCGCCCAGTATGTTCGAATTCTCTATTTGTGGATTCCGGTGTTAAACTTAGCTAAGACCAGCAGGGGTTTGCCAAATGCCTCTCAGTTTCTCATCTTCATATGTTTCTACCACATTAACAGCGAGCTAATTGCTTTCTCTTATGATTTTTAGCCTGTTAATCTTTGTGTGTTTATGGAAACTCCCTTTTTATGACTATTTCTCCATGTTGTCAAATTATTTCTAATTTTTACTCCATCCACTTAGTTGCCACCTTTCCCAACTGGCTATTACCCCCAAAACAAATGAGCATGCCTTCGTTGATACAATTTATATCAAAACTGAAAATACTGTTTGTTTTGAGCACAAGGCTGAATTGTGGACAACGCCGTACTACATTTTCCCAGATTTCACTGAATCCTTACTAAGAGCTGTTCCTGAGCCTCCTGGTACACAGCTGGGTGCCCACTCTATACACCCTGGGCTAGGCCAGTAGTTCTCGACTGCAGGCTGGAGAAAACTCTTAAGAGTCTACCAGCAGATATTCAGAAGCACCTACTTGGTCCTGCCCCTCCTCCAGCCTGCATGCTTTCCCCAGGGGCTGAAAAGACAGCTCCACAACGTGCTGTTCAGTATTTTCATCAAATGTCAGTAATTTTCCTTCCAGATAGAAAGCTGAATTCTATGGGCTACTTCTTCTGAATCACACTTTATGATTAGATATATTTAATTCTTCGTGATATAGGCAAAATTAAACTATAAGTATGAAATGCCAAAGTTTTTGTTACTACATTTAAAAACTGAATAGTCTTTTGTCATGAAAAATATTGTCACTTTTGTTAGCATCTGTTAAATGTCTAAGTGACAGAATTATTCCCTTTTAAAATTTTTTTTTCTTATTTTTAGGTGGTACCTCCAGAAATTTGAAGAGTATCCAAAGTTCAGAAAAATTCTAATTCCATTTTTGTTTTAAGTGCATTTTCAACGAAATTATCTTCAAGTTGAAGCTTTCCAATGGTGTTTCTCTAGGGACTTTGTAAATAAGTTATATCTTTGTAATTTTCCTGCTACTTCATCATTTTCAAGATGTCCTCTAGAAATATTTTTTCTAGTAATTTTGCAAGCTACCTAATAAGTACTTAAATAAACTGAAATGGAGGTTGAAGTATCCTACTGTGTAACAGATCAGAATTTCAAACTCCAGGTAATAACTGCTGACATTTGTTCTAATTTCGAATTTACCTCTTTTGGCTATGTCTTGCCAAGTGTGTCTAAGACTAGAGTTTACAACTGTCTTTGATGGCATTTTCAGAACAATAAATGTCACAATCCCTTCTATAGCCCCCTACAGTGATCCCTTCAAGGTCAACAGCAGTGTTGCTTTCCCCCTGTAGGGCTGGGATATGTCTTGGAGCCCTCTCTCGGAGGCCACAGAGGCCGGGGGTAGCCATTGTGCAGTCATGGCCCAGGGGAAACTTGCCAACCTTCATTGTCAGGTGCTGTGTGTAAGTGGAGAACTTGGGGATAGAGGAGGAAGCTCCTGGTGGCTCTTCCAAGGCAGGGGCAAAGGCATCTGGACTTGTTCCAGCCCAGCCCCCCAGGTGACATCACCAGGCAGGGAGGGGTGCTGGTGGTGGTTTAGACGGAGTAAGTTGCTTTGCCTGTGCAAGTGGCTCCCGGGCCCTAAACAGGCACCTTTAGGCCATGGGTCACTCACCATGAGCCATCAATATGCTCTGGTCTGACATGGTTTCTCTTTGTCCTCTAGTCTAGACCTAGTTTTTTGTTCTGTTCTCCACGTATGGATATAGTAGAGATTATTGTCTGTGAAATTTCTCCTTTGTGGATTTTGAGTTTTCCGTTGTAGTGTAAAGAATGATTACCTTCTGTAACAATAAAAAGACCACTTTTTAAGATTTATCCTGTTCTTTGTCGATTGAAACATAATAATTATATTGTTAAGATTCTCTACAGCCTTCTTTTTCTTCCATAGCTAATCTTCTTCTAATTGTTTTTTGCTCTCTGTTTTGCTGTTGCTGCTTTGCAAAGCTTTTCCCTCATAGCCTGTACCTGTTATCAGTATAAAATAATCTTCCTGTTGAATGCTTCATGACTTGAATTCTACTTTGATAAAAACATTGCCATACTGCTTTTTATCTTGATGAATTCATCTGGCATTTCTTTGCTTTATCGTCTCATCTGGAGTCTTTAAATGCCATTTGTTTTAGTTGTCTTCAACAACATAATAAATAGACTTTGCCATTTAACAAGGTAGCTCAAATTCTTTTACTAATTGTTACATCGAAACATTCTTTCATCGTGTTTCCTGTTTTTATTTGGTTTTTTCAACTTCTTCTGTTTACTATCTACAGTGATTTGGAAAGGAGATTTCCTTTAAAACAAACAAGCTTATTGGGAATGGCTTTTATGATTTTTAAAGTAGCCTTGAGAGCTTCCAGTTAAATCCGATGAGCTGAACATACACCTTTCCTTCTCCCCTCTCTATCCTGACCCCAGTTGAAATCACCTAAAAGGAGTTTAAGTGGGCGAGTGGCCCCATAAAGAGAGTGAGAGAGAGTCATCACTGCAGACAGATCACAGCACGGGTGGAGATGGGCCTGATGTGGCAGAGCAGAGAGGCCATGACAGCACGCACCCAGCCGAGACCCTGGGTCCTCACACCTGGGCTGACAGAGGGCAGAGGGATATGAGCACCTCAAAGTGAGACCAACTAAACATGGTGCCTGCAGCAGAAAGCAGTGTCATCTGCACTCCCACTCCCCACGGACAGCACATAGAGCCCAGAAATGACCCATGTGCCCATTGCCGGGGAAGAGAAAGGTAGGCTGAGGTGGTGGTCTGTCCTAACACAAAAATTAACTAAGTGGGGAAAAACGGAGAACTAGGTGTTGGCATCCCAGGAAAAAAATAAAGTCTCCACATTTTGGTCTTCAGGGATCCTGCCCCATAATGGCTGGTTACCTCCTGCCTCAAGCTGCAGGGAAGCTGGGGGTGGCGTGGTGCCCCTGCAATTAACTCTCCTGCTCAGACTTTCTGGTCCTTCTTAGAAAATGTGAACCAGTGAGCAAGAAGCGCCTGGTACATAGAAAAATCTGCATCATGAAAGAACAATGAAAGCCTCTTCAAGAAAACATGATCCTAGGCATCAAAGGGAATTTTTAAAAAGAAATCGTAACTTCAGGGAGATTCAGCATCCACAGAGGTATGGACATCACTCACTGTGGGACATCACATACTGGAATACTACTCAGCAATGTGAAGGAATGGACTGTTGATGAATATTTATAAATCACATATCTGGTAAAGATTTTAATATTCATAATATGTAAAGAACTATCAAAATTCAGTAATAAAGCATATGTTTTGTAAATGGACAAATGATCTGACACTTCACCAAATAATACATACAGTGGCAAATAAGTACATGCAAAGATGCTTAATGTCTTTGGTCACTGGGGAAACATTAATAAGGTATCAGTACACATCTATGAGCCTTTCACAAAACTGATTTGAATGCTAAAATCTATACAAACTCATTCTGTTGAACAGTAAACTGAGGCACAAATAAATTTTAAAGAATTTATTTGATCAAACAACAATTCATGAACTAGGCAGCTCCAAACCAGACATGGTTAAGGAGCTCCACTGGGGGGAGCAAGGAGAAGGGTTCCATAGGATGGACACAGAGGAAAGCAGCACAGTTTGTGGCTCCAGCTGCACAGCTACCTCATTTGGTCTGTTCCGTTGGAAGATCCCTGGTTATATAAGTTTGGTGCCTGTCCTGGTCAGTTGAACTTAAATCCTGTTTTTCTTCAGTATAGGTATTTACAACAAATAGCTCAAGTTAAGTTTTGCTTATGTTTGCAAAGCAAGCAAGGGTTAGGTCATTTATGAGGCCTAACTGGTTTTGTCCGCCCAGGGATTCTTCAGGTCTGGTCTCCATTCTAATTTACTTTAACACTTCTACATATGATAGTACCCAAAATATGAACATTTTCCCAATAACACTTGTAAGCCATAACTTATTTTCCTCCATTAAATATTGTTACATTTACTTCAGATAGTTTTAAACTCCTTAGAAACTATGCATTTGCTCAAACAGCCTGTTCTTCAGTTAAAGTTCAAACCCGTTTGACCAGAGAAAAGCAAACATTATTAACTAAGAATATGATTGTGTTAGTCTGTTTTCATGCTGCTGATAAAGACATACCTGAGACTAGCTAATTTATAAAGAAAAAGAGGTTTAATGGACTCATGATTCCACATGGCTGATGAGGCCTCACAATCATGGCGAAAAACACGTCTTACGTGGTAGCAGACAAGAGAGAACGACAGCCAAGCAAAAGCGGAAACCGCTTATAAAACCATGAGATCTCGTGAGACTTACTACCGTGAGAACAGTATGGGGGAACCACCCCCATGATTCAATTACCTCGCACTGGGTCCCTCCCACAACACGTGGGAATTGTGGGAGCTACAATTCAAGATGAGATATGGGTGGGGACACAGCCAAACTATATCAACCATTTTTTTTTCACTTGTGAAGGTAAAACATTTAATTTTAAAATGTTGACACTACAATGTATTAAATAGTCATAAATGGACACAGTGTATTCTATAGCTGCCAAGTTTACTTTTTTTTTTTATTTTTTTTTTTTTTTTTACGGAAACTGTTAAGTTATACTGTGGTTAAGACTTGTACCTTCACCCTTGAAAAAGCCCACATTCTATCACAGCGATGTATGGTCAGACTTAACAGCCGCAATTGTTAAACACTTGGATCAAGTCATAACCGGTTTTATTGCAAAAGGACCCCGTACGCATTTATCAATTCTAGTACCTTAATAGCTAACCGACAAGTCATTAACATACAGAAACATGCATCATGAGAAGCAAGAAATATCATCCATCCCTTCTGCATATTAGCAGCTTGTCACTCCTTAGCGACAGTGCTCACATCCCTGAGGTCAGTGGACACTCACTTTCCACATTCCTCTGGAGTGAAAGATGGAATGACTTAAGTACCAATGCAGCATATTATAAACAATTTCTTACAAAAGTCACAAACCAAAGTATTTTACAGAATTTACTACAAAACGCCATAAAAACTGCCTTCACTGAAGCTCTCTCTCCCGGTATCCGGCGAGCCAACTGGATGTCTTTGGGCATGATGGTGACTCTCTCAGCTTGGATGAGATAGTATCTTCTCATGGATGAGATAGTGTCTCTCAGCGTGGATGGATAGTATCTTCAAACAGACTCACCGGGTAGCTTCCTAGCTTCCTGCCGCGCACGGATGGCTGCGCTGGGAAACCTCAGGTCGGTTTTGAAATCGGGCCCGATCTCCTGCACCTGGCTCTGCAAAGGCAGCTTCCAGATGAGCAGCTGGGCCGACTTCTGATAACCACGAATCTCTCGCAGCGCCCCGGCCCCCGGCCCCCGGCCTGTAGGGATGAGTTTTCTTCACCGCCCCCAGAGAGGGGCGCTGTCCTGGTGGCTTTCGTGGCCAGCTCCTTGCCGAGGGCTTTCCCCTGGGGGATTTACAAGCTGTCGGCTTGGTTCGGGCTATTTCTTTTTCCGCAGCGCCGAAGTTTGAGGCCACAGTCGCGGAGCGAAAAACCGACGCTTCTCCAACGAAAGACCAAACCGCTCTGCGCTGCAAAGACCTTGACTAATAAAAATTTAACCTTTTTTACTAATTAAACAAAAAATCCAGTCTAAAAATGGTTTCCTTCCACAAAGAGGCATCTTTCCAAATCGCAGTGAAAAAGACGAGTACTTCTCAACTTTACTTTCTATTACTTGCTATGGAATTCCCTCACAAAATTGCTCTCCAGCACACCAGAACAGCATTTGTAGAATGGTATT